AGAAATGCCCGTTGATGTATAAACTGGAGTCCTATATGCCAGAATGATACGTCCTATGCTCAAATCTTAGTCGTCTGATTGTAGGCCTTTAGTGATGGCCTTCAGTAGTCCGATCAGAGTGCGATTCGTTCTTTTCACCTACCCGTTGCCTTACAGATGTCTTGCATATGTCTTATACAGTTCAGTGAAGAGTCGGCTCTCGCAGTTAGGGTCTTGATCGTTATGAGTGCTGGGAAACCCACTGACGGAAGAAAACTGAAATAACTGTTTTGGCGTCTTGCGACTTGTGACTTTGAATTCACCCGGTGGAATTCTCTGATAGACAGCGATATTGAACGCGACCACTACTAAATTCAGATGGCAAGCTGTTGCGAATTGCAGAAGTGACATGACCTACGGGGATGGGATTAAACAGATATACAGGCCCACAAGGTGTCGTGGCTATGCTGCAAGGAAGTGAGTCGTTGCATCGATACACAATTGAGTGACGCGTCCTTGACCGACAAAGTACCTCGAAAGGTAAATCACGTTACCTGGGGGTGGCATGACAGAAATGAAGAGGAGAAAAGCAACACATCAGTCCACAGCATAGCCATGTGATTGTTCATTCAAAAAATAGAAATGCACACAAGTCGTGCGAATTCTAATGGGACCACTGCATCCAAATTAGACATGCCAGTAGATAAGGTATCACGCAAGCACTAAACAAAGGTAAGCCGATATGTAGACCTCTAAAAATGGGGCAGTGACCTGCAAATACAACTTGATCTACATATAGTGCACTGGGGACCAGTCTTTCCACCTCTTATTAGACCTAGATCCCTAAGCAGTGCTACGCTGCAGTTGCGTATCTTCTCAGTTGCATGAAAATTCAATGCTTGCAATGGTGGCGCTTGAAGTGGTATTCACGAAAAGGTGGACGAGGTGGTGGGAGTGAGGAGAGCATCCACCACCTCGGTTTGACTTGGCCCATTTCCCCTTAGAACATCTTCGATATTCCTTGCAATTTTCGTCTTCCTTTTGGGGCTCCGTACAACTGTGTGCTTGTGCGTTCGGATAGCTTACAATTTTACTGGACCAAATACTTGTGCCTTATTGCTCATATTCGGAGTCTTGTGGGGTAAGAGTAGGGGTCTGGTGAGGAGGAGATGAGAATTGATGTATGTTTGATAGGGATTGGGGCTCGCGATCCTTGAATTTGACACTGGACTACTTTTACCGTGGACGCCACTACCGGAACAAATTACCTTTCCAGCCGTTTTGTATTCTTACCCTTAGCTCTTTCCACAGGTCTAGATGCGGTCCTCTGTGGATCAGTCCGCACGTTCACGTAGTCGTTCTACTACTAACAAGTTTTAAGTGGGCAAGAAGACGAAGCATTCTGTGGAGCCTCAACTGTTGGGTGTTGGTGAGTGCTTCATAAACAAGCATAGCACTCCTTTTTCCAAATGTGCACGTCCAAATAATTTGTGCCTAGCATGCCATGACCC